AGTGATCTGTAAAGTGGCAAAATTATAGACTTGTCCCTGCAGTACATTCCCTTCTTAATACAGGACAGGACTCTGCCCGCTTTGTTTACAGCAGTCTGGCACTGCGAGCTGTTCTTCAATCTGCGGCCTATAATGACCCCCAAATCCTTCTCCATTTAAACTTCAGAAAGGCCAACATTGATAAACTACGCAATATAGTGGGTGACATCGAATGGGAAAACTTATTTAATAAACTAAGCTTTGTCCAGAGGTGGGACTGTTTCAAGAACAAATTAAAAAATGCTATTACCAAGTGTATACCATTGGGTAACAAAAGTAAAAGATCAAAAACTAAGCCTATATGGCTAAATAAAACAGTAAAACATCACATTAAGGAAAAGAAAGTGGCATTTACTAAGTATAAAACCGAGGGGACAGTATTGGCGTTCAAAAACTACAAAGATGTAAACTAGTAGTCCGGGCAGCTAAAATTGAATGTGAGAAATATATCGCCACAGTTAGTAACAAACGACAGGGAGAGGGCAGAGGCGCTAAATAATTTTTTCTCGTCCGTATTCACCAAGGAAAAAGACGGGTTTAATGTACATGATAAAACACATAGTATAACAGAAAATATACCTCAGTGGTTGACCGAAAAGCTGGCATACAACATAGGCTGAAACTACTTAATGTAAATAAAGCATTAGGACCTGATAATCTACACACAAGGTACTCAAGGAACTCAACAAGGAGATAACGAGACCATTATTCCTCATTTTTAAGGAATCCATAATGACTGGTAGAGTGCCAAGCGACTGGCGGAGGGCTTATGTGTTACCTATATTCAAAAAAGGGTCAAAATGCCAACCCGGGAACTACAGACCAGTTAGCCTGACATCCATAGTATGCAAACTGTTAGAGGGAATTATTAAGGACTACTTAGTGGAATTCCTCAAGGATCATGGCATAATAACTGATAACCAGCATGGATTTAGGAAGGATCTTTCTTGCCAGACCAACCTGCTAACCTTTTACGAAGGGGTAAGTAGAGATCTGGATGGGGGGAGGCCGGTGGACGTAGTATATCTGGACTTTTCCAAAGCATTTGATACGGTGCCACATAAACGCTTGTTATACAAGCTAAGGTCTATGGGCATAGATGAAATAGTGAGCATGTGGATAGAAAACTGGCTAAAGGAACGTGTACAAAGAGTATCAATTAATGGCACCTTTTCAGACTGGGCTGAGGTCATGAGTGGCGTGCCCTAGGGTTCTGTGCTGGGCCTCATGCTCTTCAACCTGTTTAATAAGGATATTGGGGAGGGAGTGAATAGCCGTGTCTCAGTGTTTGCTGATGATACGAAAATTGAGAGGGTAGTAGACACAGATTTAGACATTGTAACATTACAGGAGGACCTGGATAAAATAGGGGAGTGGGCAACTGTATGGCAGATGAAGTTCAATGTCGATAAATGTAAAGCAATGCACTTTGGAGTTAAAAATAGGCAAATGGACGATATACTTATGGGTGTGCCACTAGGGAAGTCAGAAATGGAGAAGGATTTGGGGGTCATTGTAGACTGCAGATTGAACAAAAGCTCGCAGTGCCAGGCTGCTGTAAACAAAGCAAGCAGAGTCCTGTCCTGTATTAAGAAGGGGATGTATTGCAGGGACAAGTCTATAATTTTGCCACTTTACAGATCACTGGTTCGGCCACATCTGGAGTATGCGGTCCAGTTTTGGTCACCGGTACTCAGAAAAGATGTCCTTGAGCTAGAAAAAGTCAACCAAACCAAACTCATTAAGGGGTTGGAGGACCTGAACTATGAAACAAGGTTGTTAAAATTAAATATGTTCTCTTTGGAAGATTTGGAAGATTAAGGGGGGACATGATTTTCCTGTATAAACTGTTCAATGGAGACAGCAACATTATTAACAAACTCTTTACGGTTAGCTCCATAACAAAGACCAGAGGGCACCACCAAAAATTAGTTAGAGCGGTTAAGGTCTGGAACTCACTGCCGCAGGAAGTGATTTCAGCTAAGAGTGTGGAATCATTCAAGAAACTCTTGGACGAGTTCCTTGGAGACCGTAACATACAGGGGTATAGGTACTGCTAAGAGCAAAATCACACATGGACTCATATACACGCACACACCTGCTCAAACATAAATGCATACATGCAATAGGTTGGACTTGATGGACTTATGTCTTTATTCAACCTCAAATTCTATGTAACTATACAATGCAGCCCCCCACCACAACTCACACCCAATGCAACCTCCTGCCCCAATCCCACATACATACAATGCAGCCCTCTCCTCTCCTCACATACACACATACAATGCAGCCCCCATTCCCCACACATACTTACACTGCAGCTCCCCCACCACAGTAAGTCCCTGAAGTACTCCTGAAGATGATGGCAGACGCAAGTGGGCACGGCCACATGCTGTGCAGGAACCGGAAGTGCTCTTGAGTAGGACTTCTGTTCCCTGTCAGTGGGGATTGCAGGCTGTGGATGGCTCAGTAAAAGCTGGTTGGGGCAGAGCTGAAGAGGCTCCAGCAAGCTTGACCTATGTAGTGGCTCCCCCATGAAAACACTGTGCCCAGGACAGCTGCCCTTCCTTCCCCATGCCCTTTACCTGGCCTTGCTTTTGAGGTAAGGCTCTACAAGGCAGGCAAGGCCTTGGCTCACCTGGTCTGATACTTACCTCTTCCTCTATTCCAGCAATCCTCACCGTGTTACCCTGCCCGGATTCACACAGCCTTTTTTTCTAAAGCGTTCCTAACCTGGACCGCTTGAGCTTGCCTGCCGAGAAAGAACGTTAAAAAATGCCCATCCGCATTCAAGAAATGTTTAATGACAACGGCTGGACAGCAGGTGGTTAAAGTAGCCACCGTTCCAAGCTCGCTCCCATGATAGACTATAATCTCAATTCAAATTAGTAAAATAAACATGAGATTGTAGCCTATCACGGGAGCGAGCTTGGAGTGGTGGCTACTTTACACCACACACAGGAGGGACGTGCGGTCAGGGGAGGCAGAGCCTCACCTAGAATTATGTAGGAAAAAGCTGTCAACTTCAAGTCTGCAGCTGACAGCTTTTTCTCCATTCAGATCGGCATCTAGCAGGTTACACAGCAGGGAGATCCTCCCCGCTGAGTAACCTGTCATGGACAGAGCGCTGCTTCGTCTGTCAAGGCTACATCCGACAAGGGGCGGAGCTTGGGCCGACAGGGCGGGGCTTCGGGAGTCGGGGGGGCGGGACGTGCTGGGGAATGCCTCACCTGGAACAAGAGGTACTGCACGTCACTGACACACAGGCACCATGGGGAACAAAAGTAGCCACCCTCCAGAAGGAAGGACAGTGTCAGCACCAATTCAGAGATGATTTGAGGATCTACAGCCCAGCGATACACAAATAAGGTACATTTTTGTTTATAGTTAAGGTACTTGAAAGCACGTTTAAGATTTGTGTTTAGTGTCACTTTAACCTCTTCCTGACTGACGACGAACAGTGTACGTCGCCGGCATCGGGGCTGTTTAAACTATATAATGTGTGGGGGTTTTAATTAATTTTCAGGCCTAAAATATGGAATATAACATGGGTGCAAAAATGAAAAAAAGGCCTCAGTCATGAAGGGGTTAAAAGAGAACTATGAGGTGAGTGCTTTTCACTCATCCTCATAGTTCTAGCCGACCTGTGACAATTAAATAGGTTATACCTACATGTAAAGGGAACATCACTGTGCAGCCCGCCAATTGACATCGAACCTTTCTTCTGCAATCTTCCCAGCTGGTCAGTGTGCCCACAAGTATGGACCAAACTCCAAGGCATTGGCCTATACACATACAGCACAGCAATGAAGTAATAAAATGAACTAGGATCACACTAATCCAGCACGCTATTATTCTGAGTTGCCCCACTCAAGCGGCGGCCATATTGAGTGGGGCACGTGAGATTAAAGGAGAACTATGAGGTGAGTGCTTTTCACTCACCTCATAGTTCTAGCCAACCTGTGACAATGAGACTGTCACAGGTCAGCTCAGTAGATCGGGAAGTGAGCGAACACATACCGGAGTTTGCTCACCTCTCGATCCTGTCACGGCTCTCTGCCATGACAGGGGTGGGACTGTATTCCCCCTCCTCCAGTGCTGACTGGCGGAACGGACGGGGGAGGGTACAGCTGGCTCTGCCTCTAGATATGCAGAGCCAGCTGTCAGTCACGCAGCTGGGCGGATCCAGACATTATTGTAACTCGTGGTATACTACGGCGTCTCAGTACACTGCGAGCTGTAGCTTGCGGTATACTGAGCCTAGGGTGACAGGAGGACGCTAGTTTGTGTCCTCCCATTACCCTAAGGAGAACTATGGGGAAAAGCCCTAACCCCATAGTTCTCCTTTGAGTAGTGTGGGGACTTGGTGGGAACCAAGTCCGTCCAAAACTGTCACTGACACCCTTCAGCCCAATCAGCAAAAGTAGGGGTATTCTGTGCTCTTTTGTGCCGTGTAGCTGCAGGGCAGGTAATGCCTAGGCTGCATCTGATTGCACAGGCTTGGCTGAATTTGGTTCACACCAAGTCTCCGCACAACACTGTTGTTAAGTATCGCATGTATTATACAGGTCTACTGTACACATCTGCCCTTAAAGAGGGACAACTGAGGAGGAAAGAGGGATTTGGTTCTCAAAGATGGACAGTCCCTCTAAATAAAGGACAGTTGGGGGATATGTGGATGTTATTAATCGCTCTCTTACAACCTTTCAGGTCTGCTGATACTCCACAGTGCTTTATTGTCAGCTGACTTTATGTAACCGTACTGAAGGCTGTTTCCTGCCATGTACAACCCCTGAGTCACAATGTTTCCATCCTCAGAATATTTGTGGCATTACTTTCCCCATTATGCTGAGCACGAACCAAGGAACACTGCTCAATCTGCCCGCTAACATTTCGCAAGCAGCCCACCTGCCGAGACGTCACCTAAACTTCTACAGATTTTTTTAAAAATAACTTTATAGACAACAGTACGGGCACACACCAGCAGGAGCGTTATTCCCGGACAAGCGTGCAGTGGCGGCGTTTCAGTGACGTCACCCAGCATGGCGGCTCTGGCTGGCTTGAGGGTCCTGGGCTACGGCGGTGGGGTAGCATGGGCTGCACGCGCCGCCTCGTGGCGGGTCCCTCGCGGCCAGGAGCTCGGGGGGCAGGGGCATTTGGTGATACGTGTGTACGGCACTGGGGGGCGCCAGTACAGCTCGGAGGCGAGAAGCGAGGACGAACTGAGGGTCAGCTACCTGGAGGGAGAGGAGCAAGGTAACGGCGTGACGTCATCCCGAGTGCGTCATGGCTCACCTGCTGCTGTGTGAAAGCCCTTTAAGCTGGTGCATTATTACGCTATGCGAGGCATGATTGTGTGCTGTGTGGATAAATCATTGATGGAATAACAGATTTACAGCATAGTAAAAGAGGGTGAAGTGTGGGAAATTTAAAGTGAAGCCCCACACAAAACCTTTTTAAAAATAATCAGGGTTTTATTTTTGCACACGGGCTTACAATACCCTGCATTCAAATCTGTAATTTATATGGCTCTGAATGCAGCTGTATTGTATTGGGCCCATTCACACCTGTTGGCCTTGAGGGTGCGCAGTGTAGAGCTGTGTAAACCAAAATTGGAAAAATCTGCAATCCAGGACCACTGTATGTTATGCTGTGTGCATGTAAACATTTGTCCTAACGTTAACATGTGTACAGCACAAATGCACTTTATTGGAGCCACTAGCGTCCTGGCAACTAAGGATGCCAGTTGGCAGGAGATGCTTACATCCTAGCAACCAAGGGTGCAAGGCAGCAAGAGGCTTACATCCTAGCAACCATGGACACCAGGTGGCAGGAGATGCTTATGTCCTAGCAACCAAGGATGCAATATGGCAGGAGACTCTTTCATCCTAGCAACCAAGGACACCAGGTGGCAGGAGATGCTTACGTCCTAGCAACCAAGGGTGCAAGGCTGCAGGAGACTCTCTTACGTTCTCGCAACCATGGACGCTGGGTGGCAGGAGATGCTTACATCCTAGCAACCAATGACATTAAAAGGGTTATTCACAAAAGAATGAAGAGTTTGGAGAAGGCAGGAGAAGGGAACAATCTAGGACAACATCGCTGAACAGGAAAGTGAGCTGAATTTGAGAATGTTTCCAAATCAGCTATGTTGTCCTAGATTGTTCACTTCTCCTGCCTTCTCCAAACTTGTCACCCTTTTGTGAATAGACCTGTAAGTGGCAGGAGGCATTTATGTCCTAGCAACCAAGGAGGCCAGGTGGCAGGAGATGCCTACTTCCTAGCAACCAAGGATACTAGGCAGCAGGAAACACTTCCATTCTCGCAACCAAGGATGCTAGGCAGTAAGTGATCCTTACGTCCTAGCAACCAAGGACACTAGGTAACAGGAGATGCTTATTTCAAGAAAAAGATTCTATGTAAAATTATACACCTTGTGGATGATGCCTTAGTTTGAGTATTGTGGAATGGTTATAAAATCTCTCAAGTGGTTATTGCTGTATGTGTTCCCACTGGGGAGATTTTCCTGCACACCGTCACCAGAAAGTATTCACAGAACGAGTGTAAATAACACCTCTGACAACTAGCACCAGAACCATTTGAAGGTATCCCTTCACCTCCTGTTCTGGTGACAACCATAAAAAATTTTACATTTTCCCTAACTTTCAGACAGTCCCGGTGACATTAGTCACAAGGACAAAGAGAGTGAATCGTTCGAGCAGAAACACAGACAGCATTAAACTCTGAAACATGTTTTCAATAATGAATCCAGATCAAACAGCTATACATTACCCAGCAAAGTGTTTCTTTAAATCTTTGCCTGAGCACTTACAGACATCATGTTTCCAAACAGTTGGCTCCGACTCAGCTTTCCTGAACTTCCAGTCCAGTACAAGATACAAGGGACAGAGCAGTCTGCAGCAGCGGTACATCTAATAGCTTAGAGGAAGGTGAGCAGGGAGGAGGAGAGTGACTTGCCTTGTGTCTTTGTGTGGAGATGCACACAGCTTACTAGCACACACAATGGTGGCTCCATAGGTCCCTGCAATGAGCCACCCTAAAACAGGAAGTCAGGGCCAGTGCCCAGAGGACCAGCTGATTCTGCTGCAACCTAAACTCTTTAAACATCAAGGAGCAGTATCCATTGTAAGTGATTTCATCCGCTTTTCCAATAGCTTAAAAGCCTTTTGACTTTTATATCACTTTATGTGTTGCGCAATGCAATCTACTCTTTTTATATAGCTATGCAACAAGTAATTTATTGCTTATATAAAAGGACAGAGCTAGTGATATATAACTTTCATGAGGGAACAACCATTTTAGAGATGGCGGGTTAGCTTTATTGGCTCTGACCTGCTTCGCCTGGCCTAGTCAATAGTAGTGATGGGACCGAAAAATCACAAATGTTTGTACAAAGTACAACTAAAGGCTCCTGCATGGCGGCCTAAACAAGTGGCAAACCAGTCATTATAGGATACATAAATCTCATAAACATTGGTGCTAACACTGTCCTTCCTTTTGGTGGGTGGCTACTTTTGTTCCCCTTGGTATTTTGTTCCCCATGGTCCCTGTGTGTGTTGTAAAGTAGCCACCACTCCAAGCTCACTCCTGGTATGGACTTCAATTATGTTTAGTTTACTAATTTGTAGTGAGATTGTAGTCCATCACGGGAGTGAGCTTGGAGCGGTGACTACTTTACAACACACACAGGAACCATGAGGAACATGGTTGTTCATTTTTGTTAATAGCTAAGATACTTGAATATATTTTAAAGATTTAACTCCTGAGTTTAGAGTCACTTTAACTTATTTCATTTTACTTAGTTTTTTATCTAAGATAAGAGAGCTGACCACCTCCGTTTCCTATGTGATAGTACAGAAGCGGTGACAGGCTGTCTTTTTTGAGACACAGTGGTCTATTAGATGTCTGAGGACTTCTCTGTCTCCAGCGCATGCACATTGAGGAAGTAGAGTACCCAATCTGTTTCTTAACCCCTTCATGACTGAGGCCTTTTTTTCATTTTTTGCACGCATGTTATATTCCACATCTTAGGCCTGAAAATGACTTAAATGGATGCGGGGGACTTTTACATTTTTTTTATTATTATTAGATTTATTTTAATTTAAAATTACTTTTTTATTTTACTTTACTTTGACTGCTATCACATGGGGGGGCTTACAAGCCCCACCCCTATTTGATAGCAGATGGTGGTGACAGGCACTCTTTAAGGTAATGCTGGGGGTCCAAAAGACCCCCAGTGTCACCTTTTACACTGGAAATAAGCTATTGAAGTGCAGATCGCACTTCAATAGCTTATAGCTGGGCTGCAGGAGCCCAGAACTGACAGCCCAGGGACCGGAAGTGATGCAATCTGCATCGCTCCCGGTCCCATAGAACGGGGAGGGGATCGATGAACGGAAGTTCGTCGACCTCCTCCCCAGCTCCCCGTGGACACCAAGGACGCCGGTTCCGGGCCCGTAGGAGGGGCAACAGAGCCCAGGAAGCACGGCGGGGGTGTCCGGCGGGGTGGCCCCTTCTTCGGGACACAGAAGCGATCTGGCGACAGGTAAGTCGCCAGAATCGCTTCTGTTGTAAAGCCGACGGTCGGCTCTACAAGTTTAAACAGTGTATTGCCACCGGGAGTCTGTTTAAACAGCCCCGATGCTGGCGACGTACACTGTACGTCGTCAGTCACGAAGGAGTTAAAGGAGAACTATGAGGTGAGTGCTTTTCACTCACCTCATAGTTCTAGCTGACCTGTGACAATGAGACTGTCACAGGTCGGCTCAGTAGATCGGGAAGTGAGCGAACACATACCATACTCACCCCTCGATCCTGTCACGGCTCTCTGCCGTGACAGGTGAGGGACTGGACTCCCCCCGCTCCGATCCTCCAGCGCTGACTGGCGGAACGGACGGGGAGGGGGCGGGTACAGCTGGCGCTGCCTCTAGATAGGCAGAGCCAGCTGTCACTCACGCAGCTGGGCGGATCCAGACATAATTGTCGGGATCCGCTTCAGCTGCGGCGTCTTAGTATACCGCTATTGTTGCTCGCGGTATACTGAGCTTAGGGTGACGGGAGGACGCTAGTTTGTGTCCTTCCGTTACCCTAAGGAGAACTATGGGGAAAAGCCTTAACCCCATAGTTCTCCTTTTAACTACCTGTTGTCTGATTGCTCAGTTCTGAGTACTTCTTTTTTTAGCCTTCAGAGATTGTTAACCAATCACCATTATACAATGTGAGTGACAGGTGAGCCCAGGGACTACAAGAGGGAGCAGGCTCTGCACAAGCCAAGCATTCCCAAAGATTAGCCTGCAACACACGGGGCAAAAAAGGTCTTTAAAGATCACGGTTTCTACATAGTTCCACCTTTCTGCTAAAAGTATTTATATAGAGGGAAGGACTACTTCTGTCAAGTTTTTTTTAAATCTATGTGTGTGCTCGTGGACAGTGATCAATGAAACAGAAAATGAGAGAATTTCAAGTATTTGTCACTGGAGGAAGGAAATCCTCCACAGGGGATGCCTGTTTTAGTGGAGGAGTTTGATTTCAGTTTAGGGAGATCTTCACTTTCTTCCATGCTCCAGGACAGGAAGGGAGAAGAAATCTCTGCAACCTGCAAGAGGTACAAACCCTGTGCCACTCTGTTCAAAACTAAAAATGTTTTGGCTAGAGTTCCACTTGAAGTTCAGATTTGCTTTAAGGCCGGTTCACACTATCTGCATTCGGGTTGCGCTGACCATTTATTCCAGCACAGCCTTAATGCAAGGCAAATTGCCTTGTCATGGATAGGTTCGGTTCACACCACCGCATTCCAGTTGTGTGCGCTTAATAAAACTACGACATCCAGGCATGGTAAACTGCATCGCACTGCAGCGAGCCCATAGAACTGAATGAAATGTCACTTGTGACATTTCAGTAACGTTCTACAGAAAAAAAACCCCAAGACAACAGTGACATGCAGCTCTATCGAGCGCATCGGCACTGTTCGGGTATATGCACACCAGCACCAGCTGAGCTTGGCTGCTGGTATTATCGTACCCTGAATGTATTGTTCTTTATATGTTGCAAAATAATTTCTGGTCATATGTGACATTTGGTGGAGCTATGTATGCAACCTGTATGACTAAGTTGTTACACTGAAAGGTTTTGGAGTCCATGCAATGATTGATCTCTTTCTGAGACAGACTCTTAGTTTGAACCAATTACAGTTCTTTGTCTGCCCGTGATACAGATGGTAGAATTTCTTATGAGTC